GTACCATAAGTGCCACGCCTGCCACGCAAAGTTGTGTGAGTGTGTGTGTGAAGTTATTGTATGTTAAGTTTGTGTGTGTTATTGTGTGTGATGTTATTGAGTGTGTGAAGTTATCATTGTATGTTATTGTATGTTAAGTTGTGTGTGTGAAGTGTGTGACAAAGTTGTGTGTGTGTGAGTGTGTGTGAAATTATTGCATGTTAAGTTTGTGTGTGTTATTGTGTGTGTGATGTTATTGAGTGTGTGTGAAGTTATCATTGTATGTTATTGTATGTTAAGTTGTGTGTGTGAAGTGTGTGACAAAGTTGTGTGTGTGTGAGTGTGTGTGAAATTATTGCATGTTAAGTTTGTGTGTGTGTGAAGTTATTGTATGTGAAATTATTGCATGTTAAGTTTGTGTGTGTGAAGTTATTGTATGTGAAATTATTGCATGTTAAGTTTGTGTGTTGGAAGTTAGTATATTAAGTTTGTGTGTGTGAAGTTATTGTATGTTAAGTTTGTGTGTTGGAAGTTAGTATGTTAAGTTTGTGTGTGTGAAGTTATTGTATGTTAAGGGAGGCGGGAGGAGGAGGAGGAGGAGGCGGAGCAGACCCGGGATACAGAATCAAAAACAAGAACCCCACACAAAGTTGTGGGGAATTAAGTGTCAAGAAGCCAGGAAAAATTAGACATAAATCTTCTTCACTGTGTTCCCGTGCTTTTCTATTTTCAAAGATATTTCATGCTATTGGCAGGGCTGATGATCAGTTAACCGACCTATTTGTAGTTCTCAAATGTCCGCATTCAATTTATCTTAGATTTTAATTATTAGATATTTTAGAAAATGTATATATTTAATTTTATATTTCAAAAAAAATAAGTTATGTTTTATGGATTTAATGCTTTCGGTCGGGCTGAAAGAGAGCCACGTTTTGAGATCTCCCATGTCGGACGCGGCCTGGGCGCTTGCTTAAAATCTGTCAGCCCCAAGCCATGGATTTTGAATGGTCAGATCAGGGAGCAGCAAAAGAAGCTTCATGCACACTACTGAAACGGCTTCGGATTAATCTGTTGAAATCCGCCCGTGCCGAGGCGTGGTAGTTTAGCAGCGAATGATACGAATGGACCAGCCTGTCAGTCTGATAGACCACCAAAAAGTGGTGGTTTACACGTTTTACAGATCGGCCCAACTCGTCCAAATTCACGGTTTCGACCCCACATGTCCGCAATGCTGCACTTGGGGGCCAACAAGGCCCCAGGTTGGGCCCAACACAGACCCACTTGGCTCCAACTTCGGCCCAACTTGGCTCCAACATGCCGCAACTTGGCCCCAAGCTTGGACTAGTTGGGAGCATCTTCGCCGCGACTTGAAGTTAACATGGCTTCAAAAAGGGCGACCTGGCCGGCTCAATACGAAACCGTCAAAGCACCTGTGTTCACTTGTATTTTCCCCTGTTTTTCGCTTCGCTTGAAGCAAGTGAAGCAATGTTCCCCATGTTGTGTCTCCGTTGGGCCCAACTTGGCGCGGAGCTGTCGCCAAAGGGTCCCAAGAGCTGCGCAATGCTGCACATGACATGGCTTCAAGTTTGGGTCCATCTGGATCGCTTTGGGCCCAACCTAATTGGCGCCAACTTGGGCTCCAGTTAGTTGGATCCAAGATAGCGCAACTTGGGCCCAAAGTTGGCCCCTTTTGAAGGCAACCCACTGCGGGCGGAGAGCGTGGCTGGTTTTGTCGGTGCTCTGTCCGCCGTCTTCCCCGTCTGCGCCATCTGCCTCGTCTTGCACCGTCTGGTGCGAGATGGTGCGAAATGGTGCGAGGTGGTGCGAGATGGAAGATGGTGCGAGATGGTGAAAGATAAGCGAGGCCCTTGAGACTTGGTAGTTTGCTCTTTTAATATAGTTGTTCATTTTGAAGGTCTGCTTTTACTGGTAAATGATACCTGAGTGCTACTTCAAGACGCCCTCACTGAAGTGTTGCAACACTTCTGATGGGGCAGTGGGCTCTACAAGGAGACTTCTCTGGGGGTGACGGTGAGTTGACTAGCACTCAACTGGTGCGAGATGGTGAAAGATGCCACGAAATGGTGCGAAATTGTGCAAGATGGTGCGGGTTGATGCGAGACGCAAAAACTTGCATTTTTACCGCTATTTCCAACCCAAGTGGGCTCCTGTTCGGCCCAACTTATGGCCAAGGACGGCCAAGTTTGACCTGAGTCGGCTTTTAGTTGGGCCAAGTAGGCCCGCTTCTTTCCTCTCTGTCCTATTCCCTGGGCGCGGGCGGTTCTCGTCGCGAAGCGACTCGAATCATGGAACTTGCTTCCACTCTAGGGGACCAAAGTAGAGAAGTTTTGATTCACCCAAATCAGATTGAATGAGAACCATTGCTGATTCGCAACCTTATATGGGATAACTTCCGAAGATTGCATTTCTGCTGCGCTCTTCAGAATGCTGCGCCGGCCTGACTGAATCGTTGCTTTCGGCGGCTTTCGCTGCTTCCGAAGCGGCTAGGGCCACCTGGTGCCTGAAATGAACTCAGTGGATCCAGCAAACCAACTGAACAGAAAAATGTGGCTGATGGCGGCGCCTCTCAGTCGAAGTCCCTGTGAGCCCTGCAAAATGGAATCAAACCTTTGCTGCCTATGATGCTATGCCCACCTCTTAGTAGGAAGCCTGACCAAATATCCTTACTCCTGACTATATCATGATGAAATCAGGACCATCAAGCACAAATAGAAGCGCCTTCCGACACAGGATCTGCCCATCCCGTGGTGACGGGTTCCTTGAACTGAGGAAGCGGGCTCTGTGCCTGACATGGGGCTACGTTGCGGCCTATGCAGGGAAAAATATGCCTGGCTCAAAACATTGTTACAGCCAATGCTCCAATGTCCGTCAAACATGCCATTTCTCACGGGACTAACTTTGGCCGTCTCCCGTGGTCCTGCTCCAGTCAAGTCGGACATAAACCAGCATCACTTGAATCGCTAATCGCTGATCACTGAAATGACCTGACACACTGTCTTGAGTGCTGTCTCGCTGTCTCGCTGTCTCTGTCTTTCTCTATTTTTTTAATATGTCTTGATGTGGCCTTGGGACCCTCGAGCTCCAGTAGCCCGCGGCACTGTGAGGTGAGTGCTGTCAGGGCTGGAGCCCAGAAAGGTCGATGCTGAGATGCCTTTCCCAAGATGAGCTGCGTCCTGCCGGATCCGAAGGATCTGATCATCACAGCTGCAGGATGTTGCCAAGCCTTGTTCCGTTCTTCCCGCGAACCAGGTGGGCCGGACAGACCGGATCTGGGAGAAGAACCTCATGGCTTGCGCGTGTTGATCTATCTCCGAATTCATGTTTTTGTTCACGTGTTCACTGTTCTACTTATATAATTCTACTTACTTGTAAAGGTGCCATCTTCTATGCATGATGCCATTACATCCTCATATCCATTCATATCCCACAATGTTTCATCCAATGTCAATCCGCACTGTTTCACACATCCACCAAGAGTGCCCCCCACCAAGAGCCAGACCCAATTCGAAGATCTCCTTTTCGCGCTCGGGGTCATGCGCCCAAACCACCGGTGCCTCTGAGGACTGCCCTGTGAGGCCACTGGAGTTGATGGCCGCCACACTACACAAACAGCCAGAGCAGGAAGGCAACTGATCCAACCTCAGTGAAGACGTCCACCCTCTGGTAATTTAACATAGCTATTCAAAATATGAAAATACCCCATTTATAGTTGATTCACCTATTCAAAATGGTGATTTTCTATAGCTATGTTGGCTTACCAGAAGGTATATTGGATCCAATAGGATCCGATGGCACCCAGGGTCATACAATTTCATATGGGTCATGGTGCCCATGGGGCAAACCCACTAACCAACCAGAATAAACCACCAAATAGGAATAGACCAAACCCAATAACCAGCCAAAAACCCTGAAATCTGACATCCCATACACCTGGGCTCCAAACTTCACAGGTGCCTTCTGTGTGGCCGCGGCCTCCCCCACATGCTCAAAGAGACCCAAGTCGATATAGTTGCTGGCTGGGAAGAAACCGCCCAATCCATCCTGCAATGTAGGATGACATCCATGATGAAAGGGTGTAGAATAGTTTTTGGTATTCTTTTTGCCTCATGTTTTGGAATTGTTTTTGGCTTTCTTTCCTGGTACCATTTGCCTTGTATTTGTAACAGTTTGGAACTAGAACCTGTCATTTTGCATGGTATTTGCTACATTTTGGCATGGTCACTTTGCATTTTGCATGGTATTTGCTACATTTGGCCATGTTCGCCTTCCATTTTGCATGGTATTTGTCACATTTTGGCACTTCAACCTCTCATTTGCATGGTAGTTCAAGTGGGTTCCTTTAGGGCTTCTTTAGGGTTTCATTTAGGGTTTCTTTAGGGTGCCAATTTAGGGTTTCGTTTAGGGTTTCAGTTAAGGTATCAGTTAAGGTTTCCTTTAAGTTTTTTTCAGCGTGTTGTATAGGGTTTCTTTGGAATGTCATTTAGGGTGTCATTTAAAGTTTCTTTAGGGCTTCATTTATGGTTTCTTTAGGATTAATTAATGGTTTCTTTAGGGTTCATTTAGGGCTTCATGTAGGGTTTCTTATCAGGAATTCTTATCAAGATTTCTTATCATTATTTCTTTAGGGTTTCTTTGGGTTTCACCTAGGGTCTCTCTAGGGTTCCATTTAGGATGCAAACAGAAAAGAATAAAGCAAAAGAAAATGAAAAACAAAGAGACGATAAAGACAGGAAGCAAAGAAGCAAAGGAGCATGAAGTAGAGCAGCAAAAACACAGAAGAAGGAAAAAGTAGAATAGTAGAAGTAGAAAGGCACAGAAGTACAAAAGCAGAGAGGCAGGGAAAACAGAGAAACAGAAAAGCAGAGAAGCAGAAAATCAGAGAAGCAGAAAAGCAGAGCAGCAGAAAATCAGAAGCAGGAAAGCATAGAACCAGAACCCCCAAAAAAAAACTGCGGCGAAAAAAACAAAAATATATAGCCCTCCATGATGAAATGATGATCGTCTTCACCAGCACCTGACATGGATACATCAAGATGAATGAATCACACAAGAACACAAAACTCCGCAGCACATTCTCCTGGAAGACTGGTCGGAGCCAAAGCCTGTATGCGACCAAATCTGCACCGCCATTGTCACTGGGTGGTTCCCATTCCAACACCAAGGCCTCACAAAAAAACACAAAAACCACAGGGTTCCCACAGGGGTATGTCTGAAAATGGGGTATACCCCCAATTATAGCCATTTAGTAGGGATAATGATCATTAACCATTGGGTGTAGGGGTACGCTATTTTCAGACAAACCCACAGATTTCGCACAGCCAAAATGACCAGAAACCAAGGCCTGTTCCTCACCTTCGGTGGCAGCACGGGCTGTACCACAGAGGCCAGGGGAAACAGCACCTGTTTGTCCCATCACCTGGTGATCAGGGCAATGTGATGTATTAAAATCATATGAAGTACGGAATATATCCATGCAAATATAATCAAATATATATATATATACATATACATCATATATCTATATCTGTATAGTATGTATATACCTATCGCTCTCCATCATATGTATAATTTTTTGTGTTGGTTGTGAAGAATCGGCAACCAATCATGTGAAATCCCAGATTCAAACACAGCAACCAATCAGCCGATAAACACAGCACCTCGGCAGCAGGTCCAGCACCAGCCTGGCCACAGGTCATCGCAGCAGGAGAAACCTGTCATCGCAGTAGGACCGGTAGGACCTCGTTCACGGCCCAAACTCGAATAATGTACACCTCAGATTCGGAGTGTGTGGTGAAAACCATTGAAAACCAAATGCTCAATGGGATTCCATATGGGAACAACACCCACAACACCCTGCCATGCCTGCCATGTGCACCGAACAGCCAACTGCCCATTCTGAATCCAAGTGATGGGCAGTGTTGCCAGAGAGATTCTTCAAGGTGACACCGGGTTCGCTTGATGCTGGAGCACTTGCAGTCCTGCCACAGGGCAACAGCCACAATCCGCTTGGAATTCCATCTCAAAGTCTTCAGTCATTCGCAATCATCCCCATATCTCAAAGATTCTCAAAGTTGAAAAATGCTAACAGCGGAATTGGAACCCCCAACCAACAACCAACAACCAACCAACATCAACTAACATCAGCAGGTAATCCCCTCCTGGGCTCGTCCAGGTATCCTGGCATGCCCCCGGCAGAGATGCGTCCACCATACTGTGGCTCACGGGCTTCAATCCGGTAGCCACCTGGGCGTCCATGGCTATACCATCTGGTTATTTGTTACATAGCCGCGACATAGCCATGGTATAGATGCCTCATTTATAGATGGTTTACCTATTAAAAATGGCGATTTTCCATTGCTATGTAACAAATAACCAGATGGTAGGATCAATATCTGAAGCATTGATGAATGATGAAAAATCAATGAATCCTTTTGGCACCAGCGCCTTTTGGTTTAGACTTACAGCGACACTTTCACACGCTGAGGTCCCCACGAAGAGGCAAATCACCATCACTCGTCGGGGGGTCCCACACCAAGCGCAGCTCGTTTGCCCTGGCTGCGACACGTGTGAAGTACGTTGTGACACGTTCCCAGTGGTGTCACCACGTTACCATCTGCTGGTTGAAGCCTCGTAGCACCTCTCACCACGTGTAGGCTACGAACAGGTGCTGGAGTGGTACCTAGGAAGAACCTCAGCGAAATATCAGTAGCTATAAACAGCAGGTTAAACAGCAGGTTGATCTCCTGGATGAAGTTCCCTCAGATCTTATGGGTCGGACCTGCAAATGATGAGACCCACTTCTTTGGTGTCTTTGTTGATGATTGACCAGCTGCAAGGCCTCCCAGCCACAGCCGGTGCCAACGAACTCACGGCAAGTTGCCAGTGAAAAAGCTGCACCTCTTGTTGAAGCGCTGCTCCAATGGAACATAACCTGGTCACAAGCTGCAGCTACAAAGATCTTGCCCTCAAAAAAACATGCAAAACTTGGGGCCGAACATTGGCCCAAGAGTTTTCTGCTTGGAGTGCTACTGAGCAGGTTCACCCGCTCCTATCAACTCAGAACGCCAAAGATCACATGAGAGGATCAAGCATCAAACACTGGCTCCTCCCAAACATCAATGCAGAAATAATCAACGGGCCTCATCCAAGTGAGAAGGCTTCAAGTGCAACAAAGTATCAAGTGCAAAATCAATTTATGTTTATTTATATATATATATATAATTATGTGTGTATATATGCGCGTGTGTGAATAAAATTCAATGTCAACATTTCTCATGCAAATAATGCCCAGAAATTGTCACACGACATTGAGCCACCGACTCTGGCAGCCGAACAGCCGTGCGCTCTTCTACGCGCAAAAAAGGTTGTCCAACTGCAGCCATCACGGCTCGGCTAGAGCTCCACTTAGAGACTTAAAGCGGCTTAAAGGGTAACCTGATGTAACCTGTCCCCCACCTGGAAGCATGGCCTTTAGCTCATCTTCCGTCAAAGGCCCTGTGAAACAAGGGTGGACTCCAAACGAACAATTCAGCTGATGAGTATGACGAGGTGTGTCTTACGAGGTGTGTCTGAACACACTCTTTGATGTCTGAAATGAGGTCAGTTAGATCAGTTTGATCAATTAAATCAGTTCCAATCTCAACACATTGCCCATTTTAAGCTGTTTTCACATGTTTCCAGGCGAGCAGCCAGCAACTGGTGGAGCCGGAAGTCGAGGTTTCAATCGCTTCGCCACTTCACCAGCCTCGCAGGTTGACAACTTGGTGTGGTGCATTGCTTTTTTTCCTCCGATTGGGGATGGTGAAACCACATCTTTATCCAGCTTTATGATAAGGTTTATACAGTATTTATACATATATTTATACATATATTTAATCATGTTTATACTGTTTATACATGTTTATACCATCCATTTCCGGTACAACTCATGATTTTTCGCTCCTGGATGATGAACTCATACTCCGGGGCATGCTCCAGCCACCCGGACTGAGGTGCAGAAATACCCATGAAGTGCAACCCCAGCTGGTAGCCTCGTCACCGGCATAGGAAACCAACAAACATGCAGAAACTGCTGGAAACATGGAGGGTTTTGAACATCTTTACTCTCAAGGTGGCAAAAGTTGGGTAAATATGGATAAATGATGATAAATGTGTGGTCTAATCATTCAGTTTACAGCAACCACATTAGTAAACACATGTCCAATATCAGCAGGTTTTAGCTTGGCAAAGAAATCGACACCGGTTTTAACCGAGGCAAGCAACGAATCCCACGAGACTTGGCGTCATCCTTTTGCCTCTCTGGCACACTGGGAGGCGGAATGGCATCCCTGGCCGCTCACGAGAAGCCGCTCTGCAGATCACGAGGACTCCAAACGAATCCAGCAGACCTGCCTGATGCCAAACCCCGCACCATACGCAGGTCGCATTCCTGCAGGATTGTCGGCTGGCTGACTCATGTTTGCAGATGTTTGCTACCCTTCAACTTGGTTTTTTTTTCAGTCTTACTCTGTTTTATTGCATGCCCTGAGAAATGAGGATGGGACAATCACTGGTGCTGCCGATCTCCATCACAGCTTCAGAAATGCTCAAGTAGACAGGTGGTTTCCAAGTTCACCAATCAGATTGTTATTTCTAACACCACTGTGAGAAAGTTGGGGTAATGAATGGCAATTGGGTCAGAAGGTTTGTTCACTTCCGTGCTGCTTGTAATATAAATGCGACTGCGCTGAAAGTAACCAATCCCTTGGGACAATGCAGAAGATCAGTCCAAATGCAACAACACATTTCTTATGCATTGGAGAACCTAAGCCGAAGAAAGGCTGGTTCGAGCCAGTAGCATCACCAAGGAAAACTTGGTAAATATGAGGTCCAAGAGACAGGACAATATCAAGCGGTGAAAAATCTGAAAAATCCCGTCACTACAATCACTACAATATGCTGTTCTGTGAGGCCTCATGGCATCTTAAAACAGGGACCAACAAAATGAAGCGTGGACAGCTGGCGTGGATTGACTCACCGTTCTTTTCAACTCAGCTGACAGCGCCATTGCGGCATCACTGCACCTGGCGCCACAGGTGGAACGGTGGGATGACAGCTGTGGAACCAACGCAGGAGCTTCGGAACCTCCGACATCAAGGGCTGGTCACGGTATTGCGTGGGTCTCGGAAACCTTGGGATCTTCAGCTCAAATCGCAACCATTCTCAGCCATGCTGCACCAAATCAAAGGAAAAAGGATGACAGGAGCAACGAACATTGCGATGAAACGATGGGCGCAACACGGCCAATTGAACGTCGGGATAGTCCCCACCTCAGGAACATCAAACAGCACAGATTTGGGGGAAGCTGACCCCACTTTTTGAGTCTTCGGAAACCCACCTCGATACCGAAAACACAGATTTGTCTATGAAGAGAAGTAAAGAAAAGTCTCCCTTTCCCACAATGAGCGCCACAGACAGCTCGTGAATTGTCATATATTGTCATGAAACTAGGCCCATCTAAGGCCCCCAGCTTTCCACGGCCTCCACGAAGAAACCTGAAAGTTGCTGAGATCCACTGAGATCTGGCCTGAGATCTGTGCAGCGGTGGCACTTGATTCGTGCTGGGTAAGAAAGGTGGACTCCCAGCGCGTTGGGCCCTTCCAGGCCCTGCAAACCTCAGATTTTCGTTGAAGCTGCAGTCAAACAAGTTGATGAATTGAAATTGATGGAATCTGGATGAATCTGGAATCACTCATGAAGATCATGAAGTTTGCTGGACCAAGGTCCCTAGGTCCCTAGGTCCCTGGCTTCGGTTGTAGTGGTGATTGCGCTCATTCATGATGTTGCTGCTCCCCTGAGAAGAAATCAATTGCTGCACTGCTGCACTGCTGTTGCTTCCACGTGCCCTGTGCGGTGCTGAGCTGGGACGTGGACGTACCACTGCTGCATGTAGCGCTGCTTTGCCTCATCTACCCTAAGATCCTCAGCATGACCTTAAGAATCAGATGGAATCAGTAAACTAAGAGGACACATGGGACACATGAGCCTTGGAACATCAACATTCATCAACTGAAAAAACAATAAAGGTGTCCATCATCTTCCCATACCTTCCCTCTCTTTACAAGTTTGTGCATTGCATTGCTACACATTGCCACATTGCGGCTCTGGTGTTGAGTTTGGTGCTCAAGATCGCCAGCGGATTCTTGGGATCAAACTGGGCACCTCGGATTTTTTCCACCCGCCACAGATCCTCTACGCATCCGAGGCATCCAAGGCTGCAGCTGAAAGGGCGCAGGTAGACCCGCAAGACACGAGATGGAAGCCACCTTTCACACCTGGAAGCTCTGCATATGAAAATCATATGAAAACACAGTGGACACGTTGAATCAGTTTCATGAGGAAATTCAGGAACAACCTGCAGGCAACTGGGTTGAGTGACCTCTTCATCTGCCGGAGAGCCAGCATGGCACATTGACACGGCACTAGTGGAATGTGTTCACGGCGTGATGTAGCTGCACCAACGTTGCTGTCTGGTTGCACTGTCTTTTAAAAAAAATGGTGGATTTTCCCGCTGATCTGCACCGAAAATTGGAAGTTGATAGCCTCAACTTCCATTGACATTTCAAATGAAGTCAACCCACTGAGCCAAGCCAGGTGGCAATTTGTGTCCAAGCCAACATCCTGACTCCTGGCAATTACAGCTTGTAGAAATTGCGTTACAAGCAAGGCAAAGTCTGACGTTGTGCGCCTTTTTGTTTGTCAGCTATCATTTGTCACGCAATGTCCAATTGCGATCTAAGCCCATATTGTCCAGCAGAATGCCTGATTGCGAAGCTGCCAGGGAAGGCGATTGCAAACTCTCCAATGCCAATCCAAACTGAAGGAACTGCGGTCACGGTATCCATCACGTTCTGAGCACTCCACGGCCCCACGTCCACACCTGTTTCTGCTCCCTGTGGTGGGCTAAAACCTGAGTGGTGTCATATTCAATGCCAATAACATCAATAACCACACAAATCAAATGTCTCATTTTGGTCGCATTGAGGAACACCATGGAACAACATGTAACAGATATGTAACACCTGTCCGGTAAGACCTTGGTTGACCTTGGTTGCCCTTGTTCCTCCGGTGTTCCTCCGGCCGAGGCACCGTTTTGATCAGGCCTTCGGTTCCCGCCGCTTTCATTTCGGCGGCCACCGAGAGAACTTCCACGATCCTCGGATCGCAGGTTGAAGCGGCTGGAGGTCCCAAAACTGAAAGATCCTTGGAGAGATATGAAAAGTATCAATTAATACTTTCTAAATCTTAGACTATTAGTAAGGCATACGTAAGGTGATGTAAGCTCTTTGGTTGTTTCGACGTTTCGACGTCAAATCTTCCAAAAGTCGTTCCCCGCTTTGCATCTAGACCATGCCAGTCATGCCAGGCAGCTTGGCAAGGCCACAGAGCGCGGCCACCTGAAACGAGTTCATATTTGTGAATCATGAAGTACAAAGTATATAATACAAAGTAGTATAAAGCCACTACAACTTACATTAACCATCAACTAAATCTTACCCAACATATACAGTAACCAACACACTAATCACGCTGTCCGCCTGCAAGCTGACGACATCCAAATGTCTTTGCATGGCTTCCTTGATAACGGATACCACCCGCGGATAGTCGACATCACACCTGGACAGAGCTGACAGGATGCGACACAGGTCTGCGCAATCTGACAGTCAAAATCAGCTGAGGTGCAAGTCTTGAATGTCCAAGGGCCAATCAAGCGCCGACACCTCGCACACAGCAAATTATGGCAAGATGCCACGTGAAACATTAGCAAAACATGCTGAAGCTGGTGCTGTTTCAAAATCGGAAAACACTGGATGCACCACTGCACCACGCAAGCTGAACCACAGCCATGCAACCAGGAAGTTGATGCAGCTCGTCTGTAGCTCTGCATCCTTAGATGTTGAACTCTGGCAGGAATGCTGTGACAGAAACATCCCTCAAAAACGAACGGAACAATGCAAAAACATGATGAATTCTGCAAGAAATGGTGCCTGTGAAAAGAACATATAATATGCATCCATACGCCGCCTCACATCTCTGTATCTCTATATCTCTATGTGTATGTGTACCTAAGATACAGGAATATTCTGTCTTACAAGTGTGTGTCTTTGTGTTATATATGATAATATATGATGTATATGTATAGTAAAATGATATTTTACAATAAGAATTAAGAATTCTTAGCAGTCAATTGAGTCAATCATAGTAAATTGCTGCGGCGCCTCAAGGCCGATGCTGCCATGGGCAGACTCCACGCTCTTCACACCCTTCGCGTCAGCCACCACTTTGGGTCCACCTCGCGAAGCCTGTGAGAAAACATGAGAAAACATGAGAAAACACACGTTGCGTAAGAAATGAAGTGAACATAGTGAACATAGTGGACTTTTATTGATGTTTATAGTTTATTGCATCTTATTGCATGTATCATCTTCAAACAATGCTCTAGACAAGTAAAGATAAGGACATTATAGGAATAACAACGAGAAAATCGAGAAATAATCTCAATGACATAATCAGAACAGTTACACGCTTGGAAAAAAGACATGAAATTCTTCCAACGGTGTTGACCGTTGGATTCATCCCAATACATCCCGTATATCATTGTATATAATCATTTAATATCATATAATATCATACATCATCATATATATCATATATAACATATATATCATATAATATCATATAATATCATGTATCCCTGTATATAATCCATATATCTACCTGAATCTCTACCTGAATTTCCACTCAAGGCACTGCCAAGGCAGTCAAAGCTGCAACTCCTTGACTTTGGATGGGCAAACTTCTTGGGAAGGCATCCATCAATGAAGTGGTGGCTGCAGCCGCACCAGGGCACACCAAGGCCGGGTTTTGACCAATGAGATCTACTAATAAAGACAACCAACCAACTCCTTCTTCAGTGCCAGAAGGAGCAGCTTCAATGAAACACTCGGCCAAAAAGCCGACATCAACTAACTCTTCACTCAACAACTTGAGAATTTCTCGTAAACTCGTGGGGATTTGCTTTCCTCGTGCTTGTGCTTCTGCACGGAAGATGTGCAAAAGTGCTTTGGCACCGGCCCGACCAGCGGTCGTCGACTGCGCTTCGGCGGCGATGATCCGTGCCGTGGCTTCGTCCGCGACCTTCCGGACGTCCAGCGCCGAGGACTGCCGCGCCGCCATCAGCGCGTCCAACACATTGCGATCCGACAATTCGCGGCGCGCGATGTCGTTTTCAAAGGCCAAATGACAAAGACATTTCATGGCCGCAAGCTGCAACTGATCTTCATCTGGGTGTAGTTGCACCTCATTTGTACATTGAGACGATGTAAGAGGCACACGGCATTTACATACATTTACTGCATTCACTGCATATGTTTTTACACAAGAAACAGATGTTCATCGAATTGCCCACAGCTAAGTGCATTCACCAATCGCAGCAGCTGAGCCATGCCAGTCCTGTGGGACGCCTCAGACATAGCTCAATGTGGCCAACCCTTGGATCGAACACGACTACCGTGACTACAGCGTGACTAGAGCGTGACTAGAGCGTGACTAGCAGGTCAGTAGCGAGTTGAGCTCAAGACCACCTCGTTGACATCTTTGTAGGCCAAAGATGCCAAGGCGCGCAAAGCTTTGATGCACTCAGTGGGAACCGCCTCGTAGTCCAACATGTGTTGCACCCTGCGCCACGGTTCAGTGTCAACGCAACATGGCAACACGCACAAAGATATCAAAGGGCAAAGAAAACATGCACAACTGAATTTCCATGAATTTCCAGCATTCCTTCCCATGATTCCCATGATATTCCCATTCCTTCCCTAGGTTTTTCGAGAATTCTTGGGAACCGCACACTTTGGGCAGACTGCAACGATCAAAGTTGGCAGGAGGTCCCGGAGGTGGAGCTGCAGCTTTCAAGTGCACCTGAAACACCAAGGGTTGGTATAAAATGCTGAGCACCCTGAGATGTAGCCATGAAACAAACATGAAATATTCCCCGCGCAGCTTTTTTTTTGTAAAGCCTAAAGATTCTCAATAGTCGAAATGAGATTCATAGCTTGCAGTTTTTTTGTTGAGGACATCTCAGGACTGTCAGGAGCATCGCTGGCATCGCTGGAAAACCCAGCCACTTGGAGTTCAACGATCTGCATCAGCAGCCGCTCCTTCTCTTCCAACTGAGCAGCATATCTGCTGAGATCGCCTCAGGGCACCAGGGTGGCACCAGGGTGGCACCGGGGTGGCACCGGGGTGGCATCAGGCCAACCCTACACAGTTGGAACGGTTGGACAACCGGCCAAGTTGCTGCCGCAGATGCCAAGATAAGAGCTCTCCTTCTTCAAAGCGACATTCCTCAGTGAAACCATGTGAAACCTATTCAAACACTGCATGGTCATGCTGATGCAACTGCAACAACTGCAGGAACTGCAAGAACTGCAAGAACTGCAACTGCGATCCCGTTCACTGCCCGGAAACGACGAAACGACGAAACGACTCCGGAAATTCTGCCAAGGTTCACATCTTCCAACTCAGCTTTGGTCACGGCAAGCCTCTTACTTGCCATCGGATGCCCGGAATCTCGCAGGAATCAATCGGGCGCCTCAACTTTCAAGGCGGCCCCAGCGCTCAAACATGCCCAAAATCGACCTAGGACGAGATCTTAGTAGATAGAAGTGATAGAAGTGTAGTTCAGCACGTCAAATGCAAACATGTGTGGTTTCATTGAAAACGAGATATTCATATTCAATTGTTCTACTTATCATGCCTGGTGATTCCTGACTGCTTGTTGTGTACGTCTGGTGGGTACTGCCAGGTAAGCTGTCTGATACTCGGTTCCATCCAATTCCAAGGTCTGTGCTGCAAATGCTGCGGTGCAACTTCCTAAATCGTCCCAATGTCCCAACAGAAACTCATCCAGAGCCCTCGGCCCGAGCTATGCACTGCAGTGCTGTCGCTGTTTTTCTTTCGACGCTTCTGGACTCTCCAAACGTCAATAACGCTGCGCAGGTTTGCAGACTGCGGTCAAACTCAGCGCAGTCCAACTGCTATGAAACAATGTGACAATGTGGTGAGACGCAAAAATCTCATCTGATCGGAATCACCAGGAATCAACAATCAATCAACAGGTGAACAGCTAAGAAATGTTAGGCATGAATTAGCTATACATTAGCTATATTTAGCTATATTTAGCTATACCATGCCCAAATCATACAGTTTTGACACATTAACATGTCATGCCTTGACAAATTGTGACAAATTGTGACGTGTGACGTGACTCTCAGCCCTGGCTCTCCACGAACTCCCGGGCCTTGCTGCGGACCTCCTCCTGACCTGAGCTGAAAACCCTGAAATCACGGTGACTCCCCGTCACCGGTGACATCCGGTGACCGTAAAACGGTGCCGTCAAAACACTCACCATGAGCTAAAAACGTATAAGGCTTACATCAAGGCTTAACATCAATGCAAAGAATGCAAAGAATGCAAAGAATGCAAAGGATGCCAATGCCAAATGCCTACCAAATATCACGAAGCGAGGCATGCTGTGGCACACCTTTTTCATCAGCTCAACGCGGCATCTCAGCATGATCTCGGCATGATCTCATCTCGACTCAGGGTATGGGATACAAGCTGCTCAGCAAACGTTGGCTCGGCTGACGGGGCTGACGGGTCAACCTGAACTCCCGTGCATGGTGATCTCTTTGGCTCACATCGCCCATCTGATGATAGCACCGGGCCAACAAATAGTGGCAATGACCATAGGGATCCTGTGACACCTTTGCCACTTGAAAGTTCTTCACTGCAAGCTGCAGCCTTTCCACAATGGATTCCAGCAATTTCTTGATCATTGACGGCATTGTTTCCGTGTTTGTTTCCGTTTTGGCTTCGCGTGCCAACAACTCCAGCAGAGTTTCCGCTTGCATCAGGAACAGCTCACCCCTGAGCTTGGCTGAAGCAAGTTGCATTTCTTCAGCCAACTGCAGGGCGCCCAGAAAGTCCTGCATCTCCAGCTTCAGTCGCGCCATCATCAGCAGCGCCTCTGCTTTCACATCCAACAGATTCGCATTCTCAGCCACTGAGATGCAGCGCATGCAGGATGCCATGGCACCTACTGGATTCTGTGCTTTCAAGTGGATCGCAGAACAACTCAACAAATGTTTGCACAGATCCACCGAAGATTTGAAGGCTGTCTGACCTGTCTGACCTTCCGGGCTTTCAATGGCTTCACGTGCTGATTGATAGGCTGCCAGCAGTTGGCCCTGATGAAGTCGCGTCTCGTTGGTGGCAATCCGCCAGCGAAGCATGGCATCTGCCGCGAAGGATTGCGGCACAGCACGCAAGGCTCCGGAAGTTTGAAAGACAAGTGCGCCCAAATCAACGGCAGCTGCATTGCGATTCAACATTTCACTGCAAAGCTTGGGCATGATGGCACAAACCCAAATGTGTCCAGCATGTGGGAGTTCCTGTTTCAATTTCTTCAAGACCTCGATGGTGGAGTCATCAGGAGAGAGTTGCTGGCAAAGGGCCAAGGCATGTTCTTCAGCTGTAAGGCTGTCGTGATAAGTGTTCAGCAGAATTTGGCATGAGGACTTTGTCAGGGAATGCAGCCCAAAAACTTCAGAGATCCCAGCATTGCACAAGAGCACCTTTGGCCGTGTCTCCTGAAGGGCACCTTGGGTTGACAATAGAGATGCCATGGTGCCATGCGCAAAGGCCTCACGTCCGGCACCAGGTCCATGTGACAAGGCCGCCAACAATCCAAAGCCTCGATTTCCATTGCTTCCCCACATCCGTGACGCTCCAAAGCCAAAGGATCCCGCTGGACCTGGACCTGGACCTGGACCTGGACCTGTGGGACCTGGACCTGGAGCTATGCTTCCACCCGTGGCCAGCTGTCCATGGCCATGGCCACCATGGCCACCATGGCCACCATGGCCACTGCCCAGCTCTCCATTCGACGTAAGACGCCTCTCAGGCTGCAGGGTGAGACTTCGTGCAATGCCCATGCAGCACAGGCACTGCAGCAACGGCAAGCCCAATGCTTCGGAGCGCTCTAGACATCTCTGCATCATGCTCGAGGCCATGATGGGTGACCCTGACTGAAGCAAAATGAAACTCAACAAATAAAGACATGCACAGAGGCAGCTGCCATCCGAAGTCTCTTGGGCAGCTCGAATGCTATCCTCCAGAGCTTGCAAAGCATCATCCACGTGCCGCATCTCCAGGTGTAGATTGGCAAGTGTGAGAATGGCATTTTGCACCACTGGCAGACTTTCAGTTCTCTCAGAGACTTGCCTCCCATCATAGAACGATCGCAGACATGAGTCTGCAGCATCCACGAATCGATGTTGAGAACTGCTGACGTACTGCAGAAAAGCTGTGTGACTTCGATTCATCTTGAGATTCTGCACCGTTGCCTCGATGGACACATAGGGCAAGCGACCAACAGACAGCGGAACCTGCTGCATCGGGGACATTGGAGACAACCGCGGCCGAGATCTGGATGTGGCGGGCGACTTGACATCTTCAACTCCCATGTTTTCATGTTCATCACGTTCATCATTTTCATCGTTCATTTCGTTCTCATTTTTTGGATTTCTTTCAGGTTGGTTCTCGATGTCCATCTCCTCCGTGAGGAAGCTTTGAACAGAGTCATAGAGTTTCACGACAGCTTCGAATGACGCCTGCTTGAAGGACAAAATGAGTCTTCGAGCGAGTTGTCCAAAGGCGCCACTGGAGTGCATCAGTGATGTCGAAACCAATTCCCGACAAATCATGGATTCCAAATTGCGAAAAAGGTCGAATAATGCATCGGGTGAATCCACAGACCTCAATCCAGACAGCAAGATCTCCCAAATTTCTGTAGCTTCAGGGCTCAATCCACACATCTCCTGTCGCAATGTGGAAAGACAACGTGCATTGGTGGCACTCACTTCTCGCAGCAAACAATCCATGAGGACCTGATCAATTTCAGCCTCCTCCGCGAAACGGAGTAGCAAACATGACAGACCAACTTCATAGGCTCCAAGCCGACTGCGCATGGCACTGCTCAATGATTTTGATCAATGACTCAAGATACTTAAAAAGATACTAAAAGATACTAAAAGTTTCAAACAGAACATCTGTTGAAGGCTGTTTGGGCATGTTAACCTCAATCTGGCTTCAGGTCAAAGTAAGGCATTGCGTGTGCTGTCCTATCACTCTGGCAATCTTAGTTGCTGTTTCGACCTTACTGCATTTTTCTGTATTCAGTTTGTCAGTTAGAACTTTCCCTAAGATCTTGTAAAGGCTCGTGTGGATTTTTGGAGGCACAAGGTGTTGATTGTTAAAATCGGTCCGAAAATCTCTGTGCTTTGTGCCACCTCCTGAATGTCATTTCTGATCCCATGCTTAAGCACAATTCGGCAGGCAAAAAAAAACGCATAAAAAAAACAACAGAACTTCAAGCAACCTTCCTCCACAGTTAGCAAAGAATCTGGAATGTGGTATGCCCGGTATTTCTTGGATTTTCTTTGACTGTTTTCCAGCCATGAGTTCCAATGGATCTGTCGGATCTGGCGGATCTGGGAGATCCCCACTTTGCTCATCTCCCCACTTGGTCTCGAAGTCCAACCATCGCTTGAAGAAGAAACGCATCTTTGTCGCTTTGAGCCTCAAAAAAAACACCATAGAAAGACAAAGATGCTATGAGTCATCACTTGTGGCCACTTGGCGAAGTGGATAAAAAAACTAGGCCTCACTAGAAATTCCAAAAAGGTTGTGCCAAGTTGATCTTCGGTTGTGGATCTTATGTTAATCATTGTTACCCTCTGGTGATTTAACATAGCCATGGAAAATGGCCCATTTATAGTGGATTTGCCTATTATAAATGGTGCTTTTCCATGGCTATGTTAGATAACCAGAGGGTCATCATCATGTTAATCTTCTATTGATCTTCTATTGAAGTCTACTGTTGGTGGTGGTTGTCCCTGCCAAGTGACGACATCGCGCCGCATCGTCGGAACAGCGGCCGGATCTCGTTGAAGTCGGGCTCCGCCACGCGCGGCGGAGTGAAGGCTTTCACGTGAGCGTCCTGGTAAGAGAAAACGCGGGGATGCGTTTTTTTTCCCAATTTCTCCAATGGGTGTGTCTGAAAATAGTGTACCCCTAAACCCAATGGTTAATGATCATTATCCCTATTAAATGGCTATTTCATTGGGAATATACATACCCTATTTTCAGACAAACCCAATGTTTGAGACACGATTTGAAGCAAAGAAATCTGTTGAAATGATTTGAACTGTTAAAAGATAACGGAATGTGCTGTTGAATGCTGGGATCAAAACTGCATCATGGTAGACCGCATTAGACTCAGACGATGATAGCATAGCTCAAGAGCTCATCGTGCTTTTGTATCCCACGCTTGGGTGAATTTCAATCGAGCTGCAAAGTAGACAGCCCAGAGGTCCGTCCGCTTGGGGTAGCTGTCCAAAAGACCTGGCTCCGTTCCAAAGATTGCTGAGTTGAATCTGTGAAGATGAACCATTGCCCCCCAATCGAAAACACTGAACACCCTTCAGAAACCCATCTGTTGTATATGGGTGTGTCTGAAAATGTTGTGTACCCCTAAACCCAATGGTTTTGCTGATCATTATCCCGTTTTTAAATGGCTATTTCATTGGGAATATACCCGATTTTCAGACAAACCCATATCATTGCATCTGTTCATTTTACCATGGGAAAATTGATGTCCTGGTGGCACCTTCGAAGATACTTCGGCCTCTGTCGGGAGATCCATTCCTGAGTTGAGCCAGCTGTTTTTAGGGCTTCATCAGGCATCTTCGGAGATCAAAATATGGATGTTCTGTGGAGAAGCCTTCCTTGGATTGGACTATATTTCAGGATTACTTTTTCAAGGAACCACCCATATTATATCCTTTATTGGTGAGAAAAAAAAAAAAAACTATTTAAAACCATGGTTTCCATTGGGGTTTTCCATGGTTTTCCCATAGTAAAACAATGTCAACAGACCCATCCGTTTCGAGCATCTGGTACTCGAGGATAGCGGCCTTGGACACCACCACTGGATGCTTTCGCCGTGGAAGAGCGGCCAAACTCTTGGGAAGCACCTTTCGAGCACCCTCGGCATCAGCGTTCCTGGTGGCAAACGATTTGCCAAGGTGGGCTATGTCAAGAAAGTGTGTGTGTGTGTAATATATACATATGTATCTCTATATATATATATATAATATATATATAGATATACACATCACACATCTGTCCATCCATCCATCCATCCATCCATCTATCCATCCATCCCTCTCCTCTCTCCCTCTCTCTCTGTGGTCGTTATACTTAATCTGATTCAGCATTATTTGCCCCTGCCATCTCCAAAAAGAACCATGAAAAACATGTCGCCAGGACGCTGATAGAGGAAGCTCAGGAAGGCGATCCACACCTTTTTGGACTCCGGGAATTTCCGGGCGCAGGCCTCGTAGGCCTTCACCGCCAAGGGAGTTTTCTTGTTGCGCTCGTGGATTCGAGCCAGCTGCATATGGACCTGGGGGCGAAGGTCAAAATGACCTGACGAGCATCATGATGATGATATGGTCACTATGATTCTTATGAATTCTTATGATTCTTATGAATTCTTATGATTCTTATGATTCTTGTGATTGTTGTGATTCTTATGATTCAGGCTTAATCATAAAACACATCCTGCAGCTATACTAATTCCAACCTACACCCATAGCCTCCATCGCTTCCCCACCTGTTTCGCATCATTGTGGCTTGAAGCTCGGCTAAAGACCGCATCAGCCGTTTTCTCTGTGCCAAAGGTGCACTCCAAATTCATGTAGGCGACCCAAACATTGAAGCGCTCCTTGCTGTCCGAGAAGCCGACCTCAGTAGATCTGAAGCCCCAAACAGCGGTAGCATTCGCTGAGGCATTGCTACGGTTAGGACCGACTGACCGTTAAGACCTGCCGTCCAAGTCACGTGCTTTACAGCCCTCTCTGCGACTTGCTGGGCTCTTTCCAAATCACTCATTTTGAGATGGAAGGCCATGTAGCCTGAGTCACACCGCATCCGCAACACGCAAAACACGCGCAACATCCGCAAGCCAAATGGCCAGGACATGTGGCAGCACTGCAAGGATCAATGCGGACAAGCAGCGGATCCAAACAATCGAAGTATCTCCTTGAGTGAGCAACAGTCGTTCGAAGTCTTCGACAGATCTCGGGTTATCGGCCCACTGACCATCTGCATTCTCTTCCTCTCGCTTCCGCAATTCCTTCTCCTCCTCCTTTCGAATAGCTTTCTTCTGCCTGCACATACCGGAATAGGCCACCCTTGGAACAGCTGGGATGGAATTGAAGAGTAAGAGCCCAAACAACAGCAACAAAGAAATTGAAGACAACTGGTCCACTACTGAAACCAACTTGTCAAGATTACAACTTACCTGTGTGTGTGTGTTTCGTCATCGTTCAATGCCATAAGAAAGCATCAATGCCTTTTCGAAAGCTTCTTTTTGCCATCTTCTTCATCCTCATCTTCCTCGTTCTCTGCTCCAGCATCTGATGAAGTTGCGGAATCGACCTGTGCCAATGCATCAAGGATAACGACCAAAGGCACAGTCATGATGAGTCATGAACGGCGTTGCTCCAACAATTCAAACTCACCACGAAACTGGAGATTGTAAAGCCGGGGCTAAGCAAGGAGGCCACGCCCATGCCGGCCACGCCTTGAAGTCTGCAAATTCAAACCCTGCGGTGGACCCCGTCTGCAAGGGCTGCCACGGTTCCTCTTCTGACTCATCAGCCTTGGTGAGTCGTGGGGCCATGGGGCCATGGTGGAACGACTGGGAATAGATCAATCCATATCGTAATAGTCGTAATACGTATCGTTGTATCGTCGTATCGTCGTATCGTCGTATCGTAACACACGTTAATTGGATCTACTTAGAAAGAACTGCAAAAAAGCGACGTTTTCCTCAACCTTCTCAGGCTGCTTTCTCTTCTTCGCCTTTACTTTTGGAGCTTTCGTCACCGGTGTTTCGACTTCTTCGTCTTCCAGAGTTTCATCCGTCTTTCCCTTTTTCCTCTTTTTGCCCTTCATCTTTTCCCTGGCAGCAGCTAAGAGCTCTTGGACATCGTCAGAGTCTGAGCCATCTTCCTCAACATCTTCAGCTGAAAAGTTGGAAGGTTTGATGGTGAGTCCAATCTTCTGACCCTCAATCTTCAATACCTTGGCCTGAGCAATTTTGGTCCCCACTTTGTAGGAATCTACAGTGGTGGAGGCTGAATCGGAAATCTCGCTCCTGTGGATGAAGGCATCTGTTCTGGAATTGTCCAATCGAACAAATAAACCATAGGGCTCCACTTTCTTCACTCTACCTGAGACAATGTCGCCCACAGAAAGTTGTTCAGCTGTGAGTCCATCATCAGTACGCAAAGACAATTCCACTTTCCCAGTTTCGGAGATGTAAATCACTGTCATATCAGTGATAAGAGAACCAGGTGGATGGATCTTTGGCACGGCCTCTGGCAGAATGTGAGTCTCAGACAATGCCTTCAACTTGATTCGTCCTGTGAGGCTTCGGCTGAGTGCTACAAAAACACCCTGTGGACCTGCTGTCACGACGTATCCGGAGATTTTCTGTTTCAGCTGCAGATCTTTGGCTGAACTCGGTCGTTGCTCGTCTGCTGCGATTTTGGCTCCTCGGACAAGGGAAGGTCGCAGACTCACCTCGATCCGTTTCGAAGGAGCTTCACCTCCTTCACCTTCACCTCCTTCACCTCCTTCACCTCCGTCCAGAATGGCCACTTCATAGTAGGTGCCCACTTTGAGGCGTTGCTGTGGGTTCTTGGCCCAAACATCAAAGAGCTCGGTGACGTGTGCGGCACCCCACTGCTTTCCAGGCAACTGCAGAATGGCAGCAGTAGCTCCATCTTGGATTTTGCTCAATCGAGCAATGGAGCGACTCTGTTTGGTTGGAAGTAGCGACAGGTCCAGCTCCTTTTGAGCACTTTTCACACGAAGCACTCGAGCTGTGAAGACTTGCCCCACATGGAAATGTTCACCTGGAGACTTCAGAGCAGCCAAATCCGTGGAGCAATCGAGCAAGGCCACCCGACCCTTGATCCCTGAACCCACCTCCATCCATAAATGGCTCTTCTGAATGGACTGCACAGCAGCTGCAACTTTCATCCCTTCCGTCAAAATGGGCCACTTCACCAAAGCCGACTCATATTCCGATGAATCTTTCAGGCCCAAAGCTCCCATCAACGAAGGCCGACAGGTCAACTCCAAGTGCCAAATCTTCGCCTTTTTGTCTTCTCCCGCCCTTCGTTTCATGCGCAAAATGCGGGCCTCTAAGGTGCCTTTCCGCGCCACGGTGTCCAAAGGAGTCACGCCATCGTCACCGAGTTCACCCAAATCCACCAGCTGCGTTGCATGCAAATGCCCTTGTAACCCTACAGGTGCTGCACAACAGACCTCTAAACCTCGAAGGCTTTTAATCTTCATCTTCACTGGACTGCCCGGTTGAAGCTCTTCTTCAGGTCGTTTGATCTGGGGCACCTGGTTGCTCTTGTTTCTCTCCTGGACATGGGGAAGATCTGGGAATGAGAGAATAGTGAGAATAACACTGCATAACCACGGAAAAAGAAAATGACACAAACAAATGGATCAACATGGCAAATATAATATATATATATAACATTTATAAAACCAATATGAACCAACATGTATAACACTGCAACCTGCAGCAACCCGCGGCAACATGATGTAGCAGAAGATGTCCCCATCCCCCAGCTCCTTTGAAGGAAAAGGACAAAGAATTAAAGGACCGGATAACCCCACATGTTACCAACTTCTTTAGACTTAGACGGGAAGAGGAAGTATACCATAGAAGAGCAAGAAGGGAAGAGGAAGTATAAGAGTGATGGAGCGGTGATGGTGGGTGAGTTTGTGTGTATGTATGTATGTTCATGTACAGTGAGTGAGTGAGTGAGAGTGTGAGTGAGTGATGCGAGTGTGGTGTGTGTGAGTGAGGGATGTGAGAGTGAGTGAAGTGAGTGAAGTGAAGTGAAGTGAAGTGAAGTGAAGTGAAGTGAAGTGAAGTGAAGTGAAGTGAAGTGAGTGAGTGGGTGAGCGAGCAAGCGAGCGAGCGAGTGAGTGAGTGTGTGCGTGTGTGCGTGTGTGCGTGTGTGCGTGTGTGCGTGTGTGCATGTGTGAGTGTGTGCGTGAGTGAGTGAGTGAGTGAGTGAGTGAGTGAGTGAGTGAGTGAGTGAGTGAGTGAGTGAGTGAGTGAGTGAGTGAGTGAGTGAGTGAGTGGAGTGAGTGAGTGAGTCAGTGAGTCAGTGAGTCAGTCACTCAGTCACTCAGTCAGTCAGTCAGTGAGTGAGTGAGGGCGTACATCCAACCCCTTTGGCCGATTGTCCCACGCCTGCCACGCAAAAGAGGCGGAGACCCAGGGACGCCAGCGGAACCCCGGCGCGTACATCCGACCCCTTGGCAGTGCATATTGTCCCACGTCTGCCACGCAAAAGAGGCGGAGACCCAGGGACGCGGAACCCCGGGGTTGGCAGCGCACATTGTCCCACGCCTGCCACGCAAAAGAGGCGGAGACCCAGGGACGCCAGCGGAACCCCGGGGCGTACATCCGACCCCTTGGCAGTGCACATTGTCCCACGCCTGCCACGCAAAAGCGGCGGAGACCCAGGGACGCCAGCGGAACCCCGGGGCGTACATCCGACCCCTTGGCAGTGCACATTGTCCCACGCCTGCCACGCAAAAGAGGCGGAGACCCAGGGACGCCAGCGGAACCCCGGGGCGTACATCCGACCCCTTGGCAGTGCACATTGTCCCACGCCTGCCACGCAAAAGAGGCGGAGACCCAGGGACGCCAGCGGAACCCCGGGGCGTACATCCGACCCCTTGACAGTGCACATTGTCCCACGCCTGCCACGCAAAAGAGGCGGAGACCCAGGGACGCCAGCGGAACCCCTGGGCGTACATCCGACCCCTTGGCAGTGCACATTGTCCCACGCCTGCCACGCAAAAGAGGCGGAGACCCAGGGACGCCAGCGGAACCCCGGGGCGTACATCCGACCCCTTGGCAGTGCACATTGTCCCACGCCTGCCACGCAAAAGAGGCGGAGACCCAGGGACGCCAGCGGAACCCCGGGGCGTACATCCGACCCCTTGGCAGTGCACATTGTCCCACGCCTGCCACGCAAAAGCGGCGTGTGTGAGTGAGTGAGTGAGTGTGAGTGAGTGAGTGAGAGTGAGTGAGTGTGTGAGTGAGTGAGTGAGTGAGTGAGTGAGTGTGTGAGTGAGTGTGTGAGTGAGTGAGTGAGTGAGTGAGTGAGTGAGTGAGAGAGTGTGTGTGTGTTTGTTTGTGTGTGTGAGTGAGTGAGTGAGTGAGTGAGTGTGTGAGTGAGGGAGTGCGTGAGTGAGTGAGTGAGTGAGTGAGTGAGTGAATGAGTGAGTGAGTGAGTGAGTGAGGTGAGTGAGTGTGTGAGTGTGAGTGATGGAGGGAGGGAGGGAGGACGGGAAGGAAGGAGGACGAGGAGGAGGAGCGGATACAGAACTAAAAACAAAAACCCCACACGTCAATGTGGGGAATGCCCATCCCCCAGCTCCTTTGAAGGAAAAGGACAAAGAATGACCTTCGCAGCATCTGCACTGTGCAAAACAGTCTTCACGGGAAATTTCCAGGTGCTCGGGGCATATGGCGGTGCGAAGACCACTGCAGCTGGCTTCCGGCTCCAGCAAATGCAGTAGGACTTCTTGGAAAGTGCAGGTAGCACCTGAAGTTCTGTTCCAACTTCTGGTTCTTCATCATGTTTCTCCAGCAGTTCTGGATGCAAAGATACATCCAAAATCCCTGTTTCGGCATTGTAATCTAAAATGGCACACTTCTGCGTAGCCCCGACTTCCGGCTTCATTTCAGGCATGTTTTCTTTCAAGGCAACTGCTGTGAGGTTCTTCGCATTCTTCACCGACAGCACCAAGCCATAACTTTCAATCTTCGTGATCTCAGCTTGCAGAATGCTACCGGGCATGAAACTCCGTTTCTTGGGCACGCTCTGGGTGAAATCCTTCTGAAGGAGAGTGAGGCGCAAAGCTTCTGCTTCTCGCTTCAGAAATTCTTTATCTGAAACAGCACTGGGTCTTAGATCTGCCTCAAAACGATTTTTCTCACTATCGACTTTGGAAACCAGAATCCGGACAGACTGTCCCACTTGAATCACGTCACTGGCCTTTTCAACAAAGCGTCGAGCCAGCGAGAAGATGTGGGCAATGCCCGTGACTCTCCAACTGCCAACACAAACCAAGGCGCCGAAGTCCCGGACTTCTTTGATGAAGCCCGAATAGAATCGACCTTCTTGGAGATCAGACACATTCGCGATGAAGGCACCAGCTTCACATGCCAAGAGCATGGAGTGTTTTAAGGTCAACAGCACAAAGGAGGCCTGTTTCTCAGTGGCATCCTTCGTGAAGCCCGGAATGTGGCTGCGGGCCAAAATCACCGCAGAGTCTGGCAATTTGAGGCTGCTGGAACTGGAAGCAGCCTGGCTGAGATCTCCAACGGGTAGCTCTGCTGCAATCTCTCGATATCTCTTCGTGGCAAGCTCCAAATCATCTGACAAATGCAGCGTCGGAATGTAGCCCAGCTGTTCCTGATCTGTCTTGAATTTCACCTTAGCGATTCATGATTCATGCGCAATTCAAGCACATTGGCTGTGTATGGTGTCACTACGGACAGTCTGTCACAGTGTCATAGAACTGATGATTATAATTGTCACTTCTTGCAACCATGACCTTTCTGTCAATCATACGCTTCCGAGATAGACAATTTTACCAGAATCCAAAGTGGTGGATTCTTAGTTTGAAAATGGGATACCCCCAGTTCCAAACCGTTATCATCATGTCTCGCAATAGAAGGACATCATCTTCATATTGCACGTACTTGGGATATTTTAGTATACTGTATAACTTAGTACCTTATGGTATACAGTATACCATGGTATACTATGGCATAACCATGGTATAACCATGGTTTTTGACTGCACAGCTTCCTATGGCCCTATGGACTTTTTCCAAGGGACCACGATCCCATCAGGACCTGCATGGATTGCCTTCAGCTTGCTGATCACAGAGCCATGCATCGCCTGCGGTTTCTTCACAGCTTCTGCCTGTGCCAAATGTGAAAAAACTGCTGGCTTCAACATGAATATGTTCATCCCGTCCCCAATTCAAGGAAACATCAGTCATCTATAGAAAATCATCGTCCAAAAATATGTACGTCAGCATCTTCACGGCTATATCGGCTATATCCTTCATACCCACCCTGTGAACCCTGTGGTCTTCTTGCGTCTCGATGGCAAGAAAAATGTGGAAATTCCCTGCCTCTGCTATCTCGGCAGCTGAGCAACCCTTCTCCAGATTCAGTGACAGAAGGAGTCTGTCCTCCTTCTTGTCGACCTGGACTCGATGCTCCGACAAAGTAGCACCATGTATCACATACTGTCACACGTCTTGACACGTCTTGACACGTCTTGACACATGGCAGTGTGTCAAAACCTTGTACCCCTGGAGAACATCAAAATCGCTGGGATTTATGGATGTTCATCCCCCTAAAAATGGTATTAATAGGTATTGATCCATATCCACATCTTGAATCTTTGATGAATCGTGAGGAGCCCTGCGACCGAGCTGCAAAGACAACACGACACGTCTGTGCCATTCCAACGGCAGGCGCCTCTTCAGCTTCCCAATCTTTCACGGGAATCAAGCCTCAAAGAAGATCAAAGAAGTGCAAACGAGCCTAATCCAGAGGGTAGATCTATTATATGTCCAAAATATCCCATTAAACCCCATTAAATCCCATTAAATACCATTAAATATGAGAAATGGCTTGACTTCCAGAATGGTCAAAACTGGGAAAGCGATAGAGAAATGCCAAGCCTACGGTGAAAATCGGAACGAAAAATTGTGGTTTGATGCAAGAACGATAAAACAAGAATGCCTGACAACAACTGCAGGGGATGATATTTCCATGCGTGTCGAACTCAAAACCAAACATGTCACCGTCACCCCAAAAAGATCAAAGTGCCACCAACCATCCCAGTCATCCCCATGCCCCTCCCCCTTCTCCCCCTTCTCCAACCTCGTGCGCCCCCATAGAATTGGACAATGGCTCCAGCATCAATCATCTTACTGATGTAACCTGTCAGTAACATGTTGACCTTGGCATCCGCCGTCTTGGTCAACTGGAAATCGCTCTGTACCAAGGACTTCTTGGCTGTTAAGGTCAGCTGCCGCCGTTTCAGATGCACATGGAGCACACGGCATTTCACCTTCGAACCCACCTGGAGCAGTGACAGAAACGTCCCCTGCTGCTTGGTTGATGCTTGGTTGATGGTTGATGCTTGGTACTGGTTGGTTGATGGGGATTCAGCAATCTTAGATATCTTAGTAGATGAATTGCATCATCTCTGCTAAACCCGTGAAATCCCATTGCAACTACACATTCATCAACCACCAAACCACATCAAACCACCACTTCTGGATGTTCGTCCGTGATATCCCCATTTTTGTAGCAACTCCCTCCACCATCATTCCTCGGACCATTATGATGAATATCCACGTCTTATCATCATGAAACATCATGAAATCACCTCAAATCATGGATTTTATGAAATCATCATACAAGGCCTCATAAAATATAAAATCATGAAATGTATAACAAAATGATCTTAGATGTTCCATGATTTTCCCATGCTGTTTCCCACCTGCAGGCGCTTGGGGACCGAGGCCAAGGGCACATCCGTCAGCTGCCGCAGGTGCACGTAGCCCGTGACGTAGTCGCTCAACTTCACACGGATGCCTCAAGGAGAACGAATTCGGGGTGATAAAACAGGTAAAACCAATGGCTAAAAACGGGTTAAAACGGGTTAAAATGGTTAAAACCATGGGTTATCACTTGTGTATATGTATATATATATATATATGTGTGTGTGTGTGTGCGTACATGTACATGTATATATCTGTGTGCGTATAACTTCTGTAACTACGAAAAATGAGTCAAAACTATGGCTTAAATTATGAATAAGGGTTGTAACAAGCATGCTTAGACATTGCAGCATGGAAGAATGAACGATTTCACCATGAAGAACGGTCATGGGTTTATGATGATGGTTGAAGATGCCAAGCATCGCCGTTCCACGGCTAGGTTGTCTGCTGTTTTGTGAAAGTGTCAAACTAGGAAAAGCAGAAGTGAGACAGAACATCTGGATAGCAGCACAAGGATAACAATGATAGCAGTTACGAAAAAACAAACTGCTGGTAATTACATATAATTACCATATATATAATCATATATAAATGATAGGTATGGTTCTGTGCAAGTAACAGGTCGTGTGATGCCTTACCCTTGCAGATTGGGAAACCTGCTAAGACTCTACCAAAGACGAATCTGCATCTTTGCCCTTGGATGAAAACGGAGAAAACCCATCGCAAAGCCGGGGCGGCCGTGATCGGCGACGTTCGTGACGATGCCAGTCACCAATTGACCCGGAGACAGTTCAGATACAGAGACCAGCACACCATCCTCCAAATCTGCAGGTTTTCGCGTAAGAATTAACATTTTGTCCAAAAAGTTGTAGGATAGGACCCGGTATTGGGACTGAAATCCCGCCTTCACTGAGGTGGCCACGATATCTTTGTCCGTATCTGCCAGCCTCGACATGGAGCAAAAACCCAAGACATCACCTTCGCCGTCGGTGTCAGCGGCTTCAGCGGCAACACCTTGCAGTTTTTGCACTCGGCAGCCATACTTCGGTTGGAAGTCCATGATGTTTCCCACCAGGAGCTCTCCAATTTGAGCCTTTTGGGACAAATCCTGTGGTGCCCACTCCACTAAATGTGGAAGAAGTGTCAACTGTATCACCGGCGTAGTCTCTGGAAGAAGCGCCAGGATTCGAGCGACCAACTTCTGGTTCTTGGTCCACTCCACTTCCTCAGTTTCTCCATCGTGGTGCTTGTGAATCACTGCAGAAAGACCACAGAATCTCACTTGGAGACCGGGAGTTTGTCGAGGTTTGGCTTCAACCACTGAGCGCACACGAGCTGAAACCAACATCCCGGGCTTCAGTGAGCTGTGGTCCAAAGGGTCGTTGCCAATGGGCTCAGAGGACGCTAGAGAACATTTCACCGTGCCAGCCTGGCTGTTCACCTTTTGGACTGAGACCATGACAATACTTCCCACCTTCGGCACCGGCTCTTCACCATATTCGGTTTTCTTAATGATACCAGTGACGTTTTCAACACCAAAGTTCAGCCTCAAGACGTGCTCTTCTTCTCCAACCACAGCTGTTGAAAGCCACATGTTGGGTCGAAGCTGCTCGGCCGTGAGACCTGCATTCACCAAACTGGGCCTCAATGAAGCATCAAGCCTCACTCGTTGGGGTCCCACTTGCTGCGCCGTCAAGATCACCGCCACCACCAACTGCCCAGGAGCAAAGCTCTCCGGAAGCGACAGCTGCGTGTGCTGCGCGTGCTGCGCCTGCACCTTCTCTGAAGCTTCGTTGCGTTGAACAAACCTTAAGGCTGGTGCCAGCTGGTACCGCAACAAGCCACAGTGACAACACGTTGCACAGGGCAAGGCATCACGACATTATCACAGTCGAAAACTATCCATCCAACCGGTGCCAACAAGTCACGCAAGATTATTGTAGGGAAGATTCAAAGTCAGCTCCTGCAACAAGCACAATGCCATGCAGCTGCATTTGATATAACATCTGGTGCATCATGGTACATCCACTGGCCGTGCCTCATCGTTGACATCACGAACCGCGGCCATCACCAGAGCGCCTTCTTGTAGATCTGCCGTTCCCAGTCTTTTTATCCGACCTCGGACACATCTTCATGAGAACTGAAGAAAGTTCCTCTGAATTCTATTGTTTTCAATGGATTTCTTGGAATTTCTGGGAATTCTGAACCAAATTAACCGTAATTAACCACACATCCAACGCATCCAACGCATCCAAGGCATCCAAAGCACAGGTCTCCTCATCACGATACGGCAGCTCCCGAGGCTCCCGAGGCTCCCGAGGCTCCCGGGGTGGTCCTTCGGGTGGTCCTTCGGGCGCGTCCAGCGCTTCGCTGCGCAGTTTCTTCACCTTGGGCTCTTTGACCTCCGACGTTGCACCGAAAAACTGAACACGGCATAGAAAAATGGTAGAACTACAAGGAACCCAAGAAAAAATGGTTTCAATGTTCAATCATTTATATTTATCAAAGGAAGTTGGGAAGCAATTTCCGAGTTACGAATGATTTTTTACTTGGTGCAATTGACTATGATGAAGGGTGGTAGATCCTGCAACAATACATAATGTACCAATACATCACAAACCAATAAGAAGCAATGAAATTGACCTTGAGGAAGGGTGGTAGGTCATATAATAGATCATATTATAACAATACATAATATAACAATACATAATGTACCAATACATAACAAAAGAATAAGAAGCTATGAAATTGAGGAAGTGATGATGAAGGGGAGTGGTGACGAAGGGAAGCGGTGAAGAAGGGAAGTGATGATGAAGGGGAGTGGTGACGAAGGGAAGTGGTGAGGAAGGGAAGTGGTGACGAAGGGAAGTGGAGAGGAAGGGAAGTGATGATGAAGGGGAGAGGTGAGGAAGGGAAGTGGTGACGAAGGGAAGTGGTGACGAAGGGAAGTGGTGACGATGGGAAGTGGTGACGATGGGAAGTGGTGAGGAAGGGAAGTGGTGAGTTGGGGAGGAAGCCGGAGCACGAAACCTTGTGTTTTTCCGTGTAAAGTGGCTGCAGCCGGCGATGAAAGGTACCTCGTCTGTGCGGCGGTTGCGGCTGCGGTCGTTTCTGTCGCGAATTGTTCCTCCTATGTGTTTTGCGATGGGTGGTTGTTCCTGTGTGCGTAGTTCTATGCGTTTCTTGGAGCTGTGGTGGCAGATCGCATTGGAATGGCTGCATGATGTTGCATGGGCTTTGTGTTGGGGAGGAAGCCGGAGTACGAAACCTTGGGTTTTTCCGCGTAAAGTGGCTGCAGCCGGCGATGAAAGGTACCTCGTCTGTGCGGCGGTTGCGGCTGCGGTCGTTTCTGTCGCGAATTGTTCCTCCTATGTGTTTTGCAACGAGTGGTTGTTCCTGTGTGCGTAGTTCTATGCGTTTCTTGAAGCTGTGGTAGCAGATCGCATTGGAATGGCTGCATGAATGTTGCACGGGCTTTGTGTTGGGGAGGAAGCCGGAGCACGAAACCTTGTGTTTTTCCGTGTAAAGTGGCTGCAGCCGGCGATGAAAGGTACCTCGTGTGTGCGGCGGGTGCGGCTGCGGTCGTTTTGTGCGCGAATTGTTCCTCCTATGTGTTTTGCAACGAGTGGTTGTGTCTGTGTGCGTAGTTCTATGCGGTTCTTGAATCTCTGGTTGCAGATTGCATTGGAATCGCTGCTTCATTGTCGTCATTTGATGTTGCCACGTGCGTAGATAGGTGCGGTTTTGCCACGGGATGTTGCGAAACGCATTGTAATGGCTGCATGAATGTTGCATGGGCTATGTTTTGGGGAGGAAGCCGGAGCACCAAACCTTGCGTTTTTCCGTGTAAAGTGGCAGCAGCCGACGATGAAAGGTACCTCGTCTGTGCGACGGGTGCGGCTGCGGTCGTTTTGTGCGCGAATTGTTCCTCCTATGTGTTTTGCAACGAGTGGTTGTGTCTGCGTGCGTAGTTCCCTGCGGTTCTTGAATCTCTAGTTGCAGATTGCACTGGAATGGCTGCTTCATTGTCGTCATTTGATGTTGCCACGTCCGTAGATAGGTGCAGGTTTGCTACGGGATGCTGCGACACGCATTGTAGTGGCTGGGTCAAGGTTGCTCGGTGCTGCGGCTGCATGCGCAATACGATCGTCTTTTGCAGCTGAAGATCGTAAATCGTATTGGAATGGCTGCATCAAGGCTGCGAAAGTGAATTGTCAGCAGATTTTATCCATTTTGGCACTAATAATTTTCCTTTTAAAATTCCTTTTAAAAAATGCTTCAAAATCGTCTTTTTGTCGCTTTGGCGTCGAGATCCGGTTTTGGAGCTGCAATTTCCGACGCCATTGCACGTAGTTCTATTGTGTTTTGCAACTCAGTCTCTGCAGATCGCATTGTAGTGGCTGCGTCAAGGTTGCTTGGCGCAGCGGCTGCATGCGTAATACTATTGGCTTTTGCAGCTGAAGATCGTAAATCGTATTGGAACGGCTGCATCAAGGCTGCGAAAGTGATTTGTCAGCAGATTTTCTCAATTTTGGCGCTAATAATTTTCCTTTCAAAATTCCTTTTAAAAAGTGCTTCAAAATCGTCTTTTTGTCGCTTTGGCGTCGAGATATCCGGTTGTGGAGCTGCAATTTCCGACGCCATTGCGCGTAGTTCTATTGTGTTTTTCAACTCAGTCTCTGCAGATCGCGTTGTAGTGGCTGCGTCAAGGTTGCTTGGTGCAGCGGCTGCATGCGTAATACTATTGTCTTTTGCAGCTGAAGATCGTCAATCGTATTGGAAAATGGCTGCATCAAGGCTGCGAAAGTGATTTGTCAGCAGATTTTCTCAATTTTGGGGCTAATAATTTTCCTTTTAAAATTCCTTTTAAAAAGTGCTTCAAAATCGTCTTTTTGTCGCTTTGGCGTCGAGATCCAGTTTTGGAGCTGCAATTCCTGTTGTGATTATGTACAAGAAAGCTTCTCTGTGCAAAAACTTTTTCTGTAAAAGCTTGCTGTGTGTAAAAGCTTCTCTGTGTGTAAAAGCGTCTGTGTAAAAGTTTCTGTGTGTGTAAACGCTTGCCATGTGTAAAAGCACTGTGCGTAAGTGTTCTGTGTGTAAACGCTTGCTGTGTGTGAAAGCTTGCTGTGTGTAAAAGCTTCTCTGTGTAAAAGCTTGTTGTGTGTAAAAGCTTCTCTGTTTAAAAAGTTTGCTCTGTGTGTGTGTAAACGCTTGCCATGTGTAAAAGCACTGTGTGTAAGTGTTCTGTGTGTAAACGCTTGCTGTGTGTGAAAGCTTGCTGTGTAAAAGCTTCTCTGTGGAGAAGCTTGCTGTGTGTGAAAGCTTGCTGTGTAAAGCTTCTCTGTGTAAAAGCTTGTTGTGTGTAAAAGCTTCTCTGTTTAAAAAGCTTGCTGTGTGTGTAAACGCTTGCCATGTGTAAAAGCACTGTGTGTAAGTGTTCTGTGTGTAAACGCTTGCTGTGTTTGAAAGCTTGCTGTGTGAAAAAGATTTTGCGTGTAAAAGCTTGCTGTGTGTAAAAGCCTCTCTGTGTGTAAAAGCGTCTCTGTGCAAAAGTTGCTGTGTGTAAACGCTTGCCATGTGTAAAAGCACTGTGTGTAAGTGTTCTGTGTGTAAACGCTTGCTGTGTGTGAAAGCTTCTCTGTGAAGAAGCTTGTTGTGTGTAAAAGAATCTGTGTGTAAAAGCTTCTCTGCTTGAAAAGCTTGCTGTGTGTAAAAGCTTCTCTGCGAAAGAACTTGATGTGTGTAGAAGCTTTGTAGTACAAAGTAGTACTGGAACGTGTTTTGTGCAAGCTTTGTAGTACAAAGTAGTACTGGGAAGTGCTTTGTGCAAGCTTTGTAGTACAAAGTAGTGCTGGGAAGTGTTTGTGCAAGCTTTGTAGTACAAAGTAGTACTGGAACGTGTTTTGTGCAAGCTTTGCAGTACAAAGTAGTACTGGAACGTGTTTTGTGCAAGCTTTGTAGTACAAAGTAGTACTGGAACGTGTTTTGTGCAAGCTTTGTAGTACAAAGTAGTACTGGAACGTGTTTTGTGCAAGCTTTGTAGTACAAAGTAGTATTTTTACTGTGGAGTGCTTGTGCAAGCTTTGTAGTACAAAGTAGTACTGGAAGGTGTGTTGTGCAAGCTTTGGTAGTACAAAGTAATTACTGGGAAGTGCTTTGTGGGAAGTAGTTTGTGCAAGCTTTGTAGTACAAAGAAGTACTGGGAAGTGCTTTGTGCAAGCTTTGTAGTACAAAGTAGTACTGTAGTACTGGGAAGTGTTTTGTGCAAGCTTTGTAGTACAAAGTAGTACTGGGAAGTAGTTTGTGCAAGCTTTGTAGTACACAGTAGTACTGGGAAATGCTTTGTGCAAGCTTTGTAGCACAAAGTAGTACTGGGAAGTGTTTTGTGCAAGTTTTGTAGTACAAAGTAGTACTGGGAAGTAGTTTGTGCAAGCTTTGTAGTACAAAGTAGTACTGGGAAGTGGTTTTTGCAAGCTTTTGTAGTAGACATCAGTACTGGGAAGTACTTGACATGAAAATAGCCAAGAAGAACTTAGCTGACATATGGGAAGGCATGGAATGCGATGAGAAGAGCTCAGATGAGATGAGTTGAGATGAAGTGCAAGTGTGAAGCGTGGAGTGTGGGGTGTGAAGAGTGCAATGTGAAGTGTGAGGAAAGTGTTTGCATTGTACCGGGGTCGCGCGCAGGTCATGTTCTTGGACAGCAACACTGCAACAGCTTCGCACAAAGCACGCACGCACGGGCCTGGCTGGCGCACGGCACATGCAAGTTCCTTAGTAGTAGTACTGGGAAGTGATTCATGAAAGCTTAGGTGACATATGAGAAGAGATGAGATGAGAAGAGATGAGCTGGGATAAGGTGAGAAGAGCTCAGATGAGATGAAGTGTGGAGTGTGAAGAGTGCAGTGTGAAGTGTGGGGCGTGACGAGTGCAGTGTGAAGTGTGGAGTGTGAAGTGTGAAGTGTGGAGTGTGAAGTGTGAAGTGTGGAGTGTGCAGTGGGAAGCGTGCAGTGAAGTGTGAAGTGTGGATTGGGAAGAGTGCAGTGTGAAGTGAGAAGTGTGGAGTGTGAAGTGTGAAGTGTGAAGTGTGCAGTGTGGAGTGTGAAGAGTGCAGTGAGAAGTGTGAAGGGCGAAGTGGAGCTTCAAATGTGACATGTGAAACAGGACACCACTTTCGCAGAGTGCACGCACGCACGGGCTTGGCTGGCGCACGGCGCATGCAAGTTCTATAGATGAGAAAGGTCTTTTATATATCTTTGAGGCAACTTCCGCCCCGCCTCGTGCGGGTACTACTGGTATGATGTTATTTTATGTTTTATTTATAGTTAGCACAAGCATATGTATAAAATCAGCATGAACACCCCCGTCCTTGGCTTCTTTCGGTCCTTTGCTGGGCACACTGGCACTGGTTGCCTCAGAACGGCCTGGACGACCACGTTCAAAGGCTTCCTGAAAGTGAATTAATGCACAAAAGCCAAGGAACAAACCTGGTAACACGTGTATTTATGCTATATAATATAACATAAAAATATTGATAATAGTTGTCTTATATGAATGTTATATCATATCATATGTATATGTGTGAGTGTATGTATGTATATATATATATATATGCGTGTGTGTGTGTGTGATATGCATATTTATACATACCTGGTTACCAGCATAGTTTTACATATGCCATGAATGAACCAAAAGTCATAGTGAAATCTGCTGAAACATGGGGCAAGGTCTCCTCTTCATCGTCAAGATTGCCTTTTCTCTTTACCATGGCTGAGGTCTGCAACACAACTTGGAAATCTGAAATGCTGACATTGGTGGAGTTGGTTTAGTGATTTGACGTGAGCTAATGGGAAAAGATTCTTGACGAAAGTTGGTAAATGGTTGCCTAAGTTGTTTCAATGTTGTCGACATACTCTGCTTATCTGCAATGTTGCAAAAGGCCGCAGGATGGAGAGCAAGGCTACTGGCAAACGTGCACAAATATGATCTAAATGATCAAATATATGATCAAATATGACAAACAGAAGGCATCTCAGGCATTTTGATCTTCAGCACCGCTATTCGCCAGTCCAACCCAGCGCCGCTGTCAACGCAAAGCGCCAGAAGTCCTTGGACCAAAGGAGGCACAACAGGCCATGAAGGAAGGAGAAGCCGGAGAAGCCGGAGAAGCTACAAATGTTTTTCTCTTGACTGCATGGCTACTCATGGCTATGCATTGCTCTATTCTAAGACCATCATATCAAAGTTTGGTGCCTGTTGGTTTCACATAGACTTCTCGCACATATCATTACCCGCAGCAACGCAACCAATGCCAAAAAAGGGAACAGGAACAAATTCAAATAGCAGTGGGCATTGAAAACCAATACCTAAACCTTTCAAAATAAAAAGTGTTGCAGATCAGAGTTTCCAGCACCTCGATTTTCAGTTTTTCCTGCTGTTTCCTCATCTTTTGGCTGACGCTAGCAGCTTCCTCTCCGGAAAGCATGGCCTTTTCCAGCAGGTCCCGGGCACTGCCTCGTGGCTTTGGAATATGTGGAGATGTCTGGGATACCCTCCGGTAAACATACAAAAAACTATGGAAAATCATCATTTTTAATGGGTAAATCAACTATTTCTATGGCCATTTTCAATAGCTATGTTGAATTACTAGAGGGTATGTCTGGGATATGTGGATAGCAATGATATCATCCCACCTGTTGGGTGATAACGTTTGATAACATCATGAATACCGTCCCGTACGACAATACTCTTCAGATGAATGAGAGTAGCTATGAATGCCATTGTTGCAATTATTGTGATTCTCCGGCAGGATATTTGGTATGTTATGACCATGGACCCCTATTGTTGTGGATGATTCAGATTCTATTATTGGGATTATTGGTGTATTAGGGGAGTTTCTTGTTTCAGCGCAATCAAATTATCCCAATAATTTGGTGTCAATTACTGTCAGCTCATTTTGAGGTGATCTGAGTGATGGCATCGCTGGTTCAAAGGCTGAAATCTCAGTGAGTTTCATTCTAAAACGCATATTCCAAAATTTGGCCCGGAAGAACATCCCAGCATTGAAACTAGACAAATATTGTTTCGTTGATATGAAAAACCAATGGTGTCCAGTTCGTTTTCCATCGTCATGCTCAAGGCACTGAAGTGAAGAAGATGCGGCCTTACCCACCATTCGGTGTATTGCAGCCAGTAATGTCGCTCCCGTCGAAATTGATAATATCGTCTGCCGGCCACTTGAAAGTCCAACGGGGAAGGCTCCGAAGTGTTAGCTCCTTTGAAGTAGCAAAATTATGGAAAACTGATTGGGTGACGATGCAAAGGTTGCTAAGTATGAAAGAATAACAATTAGAATTTAGGGTTCAAAAATCTCATATTACTGTAGTGATGGTGAAAAACTTGACCGTGAATAAAAAGGCAGGCCGAGGCAGTTTTGGATGAAACCACACCTCGCATGGCAGGCATGCGGATCTTGCTGAGAAGAGGTAGGGGATCATCTGGCCAAATAAATTTATGAATCATTGGCTCGTCCGGTATGAAGAGCGGAATGCCTATGCAATACATATCCGACAAACGTAAAGCGTTGGGAATGTGTGGCAACATCGCAATTGACCTGTACGAGGCCATTTCTGAGAAAGTCATGGATTTCGTCATCGTGTCGATGTTGACGCCACTGGAGCCTCTAGCTGCTTCATTCTCCGCTTCAATCAGCCGCAGCACCCGCAAGAAAGGTGAGGCACCCGGCAAAGAGGATCGGAAAAACAACATGTCGGGTTTCGTTGGCTTGTAACGAGCAGAAATGTAGAGAGACAAACAAGGAACGTAGGGCACTCTGATACCTGCTTGCCACCAAAGCATCTCTGCTGTCATGCGAGACGTGGCACTCACCGCGCCGTTGGTGTTGGCGCCATTTCGACCGAAGGCCGTCCTTTCGACCAAGGTCCAAAATTCATCGACTTCGTCGAGGCCAAAGACTTGATCGAAATCCACCAGCAAACACATCACACGTCCTGCTGCACTCGCACGTGTCAACAGTCGGGACGATGACGACGACGGGCTAGACGGATCTGTGGGTACTGGCGGAAGATCGTGAAGAGCTGCATGGAGCAAAACGCAAAGCCACAGAGGTTCACTGCAAATGATCACTTTGGAAGTTCGTAGAAATGCATCTCTCCGGGCAAACTCTCTCAAAGACCAAACTGCTTGTTGGATGGTCCAAATTGGTGTACTCAGTTTGTCTCTCCCGGCAGACTCTGTGAGTGGTTGGCCCCAAAAGGCATCCCAACTGATCCGCAGAGATGATGATAAAGAAGCGCTATCAGAAAGGCCTTTCAGTTGCCACAGATAACTGAAAAAATGACCCGCCTCAATGGTATGTGATGGTGATATATGTGATGTATGTGATGTATGTGATACCTCAGTTGCAGCTTGTATCGCAGCCAGGTTTTCCAAGTTGCTGGGACCATGTTCGCCCACCAAAGCAACTCTGAAAGGCTCCACTAACTGTCGCTTCAGCCTATCAGCCACAGTGAATTGGGATTCTGCGTACGGCAAATCCTCCCGCCAAGTGGGATATCTCAATGGCAAGGGATCCAAGGATGCGGTATAATCAGAATATCTGGGGTAGAACTTTGGATCTTCCAAATTCAGGTTCACGGCTAAGTCGAAAGATGAGGCATTCCAGTTGGATGATTCCAAATGATCAAAGTTCGAATCCAAAATCGTCACAAATGCCAACAGCATACTTTCCAAGTTCAATCTGGCAGCATCTTCTGGCAAGTTGGATCGCATTTTGTGCACCAAGAAAATCACATATTGAACCAAGGCAAAGCCAACGGGACACAGCATGAAACCCACCAAGTTATCCGAAGACCATGCAGGTGGAGAACCAAATAATCCCTGCCATTGGGATTTCTGCAGTGCAGTGACCCAATCCCGTTTCTCGCGAATTTGGGTGAAAAACGCTGAGCCATCGGCACGCCATTCCCCGGCCAAAGGGACAAAGATCCGGCCCTTGAAGGCTTCATTCTCATCCATTCCGTCAATGAAGGTCTCCCAATCCTTCCATTTCAAATATGCCAAAGAACCTGTTTCTGGAGACAAAGGTCCTGTTTTTCTATAAGCACTGCGAAAGCTCTGCCAAAACTCGTCGCCGTTCTCGCAATCCAAAAAGCTGGCTGCTTTCATAGGA